ATTTTCCTACCTCTTTTGGTGAATTAATAAATGCACTATGGTTTTTTTTTTTTTAACAACAATTTAGTTGTTAGCAACGATAGGTCACAGATAAACAATAGTTAAAAATTCTCATCTTTCTGTAATTGCAGCATTGATGATTGTGTAGAGAGATTTAATTGACATTGTAAAATACAGCACTTCCGACCAACTGCAGTCAGGTTTCATTAAACTTGAATGAGCCCCTCCCTCACCTCTGGCAAGATCTCGTGATCTTCCAGAAGCTGACTCAAGAGAAGCAACAAAAATACCACTCAGGCTTTCAGAGAAAAGCCAGCCTGTGGGCCAGGCTTTTGTGCTTCTGCACTGCTAATGTGAATTGTAATCAAAGTGAACACTGAAAAATAATAAAGGATGCAGATGTATACTTTTGCTTAGCTCCTTGGCAAATGCATACCCCTCAGCTGTTCGACTCCAAAGCCCAATTCCTAGAAATGAGCCGGAAAAGGGCACGGTATAGGCAAGTGGGCTTCATGTTTACTTGTGGCAAAATTCCAGTGCAAGAAGGAAGGAAAACAGTGATCCCTGTGAACTAACATGGGTTCACTATTAACAAGTTAAGCTAAATTAGGCTCCTTTCCTTTATGGCTCCTCATCTGACCAGAGAAATGTGTGAGGATAGGCTCCCCAGACTTGAGGAAAGCATCTGCCAGATGACCTCATGATAGGATGGTGGCCAAAACAGAGAAATGTGAACTAGGGACTAGGACAGACAGGTGGACCTGGGGCTGCTCAAAGACCAAACTCTAAAAGTGTCCATTAAGGGCCCAATTTAAAGCACCTGGCCATCTAGAGCCAATCTTATCCTTCCAGGCTGATTTCAAAAAATCCCCCTCAAGCATTTGGCTTCCAAACAGCTAAAGTAGCCCCTTTGCTATTCTGAATCATGCCAGGACATCTCTCACCTCTGAGCTGTTGCACAGGCCATTTCCCACACCCCACATACTTTCTCTCCTTGCCTCCACCTCTTGGGACTCATAACTCTCTTCAAGCCTCCACTCAAGTATCACACAAAGATGCCTTTCATTATTATTCCAGTTTTTAGGGTCCCTCACTCTGGGAAATTACTTCATTATTTATTTCCAATAGTCAGGAAGCATTTACTAAGCACCTACCACATGCCAGGCAATGTGCTAAGTACTATGTATAGTAATAAGAAAAAGACAGTCCCTGACCTCAAGGAGCTTCCAATCTAATGGGGAAGGCAATACACAACATTGATTGACTGAAGACTTTTAATTTTGCATTTATTTTATATTTACTTCTCTGTGTAAACAATGCTGCCCCTGCCCCCTGAATATAAATTCCTGGAGGGGAGGAATTGTTTCAGTAGGCACATAATAAACGCCCTGTTAAGCTGAACTGAAATTGAATATCCTACACAAGGAAGCTACAAGGAAGCTGGTGGGAAGCTACAGAGTTCTGTCCTTAAGTCTATCCTGTTCAACATTCCTACCCACCCCCGATTTAAATGAAGAGAGGTGTCGTGCTTATCAAGTCTATAGACGAAGTCGGGAAGGATAGCTAACATGCTGGATGACAGGATGTCAAGATCTGAGGATATCTCAGTAGGCTGGAATGCCTGGGCCAAATATAATGAAGGGAAATAGGGATAAATGCAAAATTTTGCACTTAGGTTCAAAGTATCAATTATACAAACATAATATGGGAGAGACCTCACTAGGAAGGTGTCTATTTAAAAAAGGTCTGAGGGATTTTGTAGACTGCGACACAAATCTAGCATCTAAATAGAGGTTCTTAAGCTGAGGCCTATGAATTTTTTTTTAAGTTCTGATTTCAATATAATAGGTTTCCTTTGTAATCCTATATACTTCCACTTCATACATTCTAAAACACGATTCTAAGAAGGGGCCCATAGACTTCACCAGACTCTTGTCAAGGGTTCCATGACCCTAAAAAGGTGAAGAATCCTTGACCTAGAAGGAAGGAGGTCACAGTACCACTGCCCACTGTGCCCAGGTCAGATCCCATCCATAGGACTATGTCTAGATGAATGAACTGCCAAGATGGAGACCAGAAATCCTGCCACACAAGGATCAGAAACTGGGGACTGGATAGAGGCAGGGTGAGAAGATTTGAGGCTGGGATGTAGAAACAGAGACCTGTCACCATCCTCAAATATCTGAAGGGTTATCAAGGGGAAGACTGATGAGAATGATTCTGTCCGGCCCCAGAGAGCAAAACTTAGGCCAATGGCTGGAAATTCTAGGGAGGTCAATTTCGGTGTAGTAGCAGAACAAATTCCTAGTAATTAGAGCTGTCCACAAATGGATGAACTGCTCAAGGCTGCTATCAAAGGAGGTCTCCAGGGAAAGGCTCAGTGACCACTTTTTGAGAATGTTACAGGGGGACTCATGTTTGATGGTGGATGGCCAACCTCAAAGGTTCCCTTCAACTCTATGATCCTACAGAAAGGGATATCGAATACTCAACTATAAGCATGCTTAACCCAGAGATGTCCTACTTAAAAACTAGAGAGAAAATCAAGCAATTCAAAATATATAAAACACTTCATTAACAGGAAAGCTGCCCTCCAAAGCTCTTGCATTTCAAGTAAGGCATCTAAGTGATTAAAACTGATTAACCAAATCTGCATTTCCAAAGAATCAAAACTAATCGATTTCTTCACTGTAACGTTACTTGTTCGGTCAGTCATGTCTTACTCTTCATGACCCCATCTGGGGTTTTCTTGGCAGAGATAGTGAAGCGGTTTGCTATTTCCTTCTCCAGCTCATTTTACAGATGAGGCAACTGAGACAGACAGGGTTAAATGACTTGCCCAGGGTCACACAGCTATTAAGAGTCTGAGGCCAGATCTGAACTCAGGGAGATGTATCTTCCTGACTCCAGGCCAGGAACTCTTATCTGCTGCAGCGCCATCTAGCTGCCCTTCACTGCAATATAAACTCATAAATATATCTTCAAATGCAAACTGGGAGTGTGCTAGCAACCACCTGAAAGCCTACTTCCCTCTGCTCCCAAATGTGAAGTTAATTCAGAGCCAGTCCTCTCACTTCTCCTTATCACTCTTTAGTTATAAAGAAACACAGTGTCATGAAGGCATCTCATGGAGCCCCTGCCAAAAGACAAAAAAGCCACCTCCCACACAGTCGGCAGTTTGGAAGGGCTGGGCCACATCACCAACACAGAACAAAGCTGGGCTACAAATCCCCTGCCTTTCATCTTGGAAGAAAACAGAACATTTGAGCTGTCTTCAGCCATTTAGTGGCAAACTTCCCAATCACTTTAAAGCAATCAAAGAGCAAAGATTAACACATATTTACTTTCATAGAGCAAGCTGTGACCAAGCTGAAGCCATTCACCTATGGGCTCACTCTGTTTCCTTTTCAAGTTTCATGGCAATGTGCCTTAGGGATGAGGCCGGTTATTAAGGAATATTTCACTGGTACCTCTGTTCTAACAATTAGTGATTCAGACTATCCCTCCTGAGGGCTTGCCCCAGAGAGGCTGCCTGTGTGTGTGTATGTACGTACACACACACACACACACACACACACACACACACACAAAATGTCCCTTTGATCAGAAATGATCCCAAACTGTGAACAGTTTCCTGGGTAGAGAGGGAGAAATTGTATCTCTGCCTGGCTCAGGTGTTTGCTATCACAAACGATGACTAAGAGCCATGATTTTCTCCATGATGCAACTCTCCAGAGGGGCACCATTTTCTTCCATTTTCTCTTAGCTGTGCTCACTTGCTGGTGACTAATGCTCTCTCGAGCAGCTCTGCACTGCTCAAATTTCATCAGCAAGCTCTGTCCTTGACGGCCTCTTGGCCCATAAAAGCTACCAAACCTGTTGAGGGCAGCAGTGAAAAACGAGGGCCAAAGAAACCATCTCATGGTAGACACGAAGAGCTGCCTTGTGTTTTCACCATTATGTTTTACTGCCCCTGAAGTAATGAGCAATTAATGTTTATTTTAAGGGAAAAACTGTCTGCAAACGAGAAAACTGGAAAGCCTGCATTTGACAGAGCGAGGGCAGCAGGGTTAGAAAGAAGCAAATGCCCTATTGATGTTTGGTCATGCACCACAGCACTCATCCTCTTTTAATGTCAAGGTAGAAACAAGACCCAATGGCCTTCATAATCACAAAATGAAACAATGATTACCCGTGATCTTTCATTAACCAGAATTAGGGGGAGCAGGGAGGGCATGGGCATTTGTCAGAGAAAGCCATGCCTAGAAAATGAACTCAGGGCAAAGACTCAATAACCCCCCAAACCAGGCAACTGAGGTCCTTGAATGGGTACCTCTATGAACCAATCTACACTACCAGCTACAGCAATCAATCAAGGTTCAGCAAGACCTAAGACCCTCACTACAAGATCCTCAAATGATTATGGTACCTGACTCCAGGGTACACATTTTAGAAATAGTTCAATAAGATTACCTTCACATACAATCCCTTTGAAATTCTGTTTAATCTTTAAGGACTGCCAGGGTCCCAACCTTCAGTCCCCTGGTGGCGAGCCTTAGCTGGCTATGTTGGTCCTCAGACAACACACTAGAAATTCATTCCTGGGACCATCCTCAAAGCCTTCATCCCCAAGCTGGGAAAACCCGGGAGAGCTTGAATTAGCCTCGAGTAGTCTTTGAGAATGCAATTTTGCTGCCAAATCTTGACAAAACATCGGAGTATGACCAGAGTAAGCAAGGAACCTGTAAGTGTTATGTGTGTTAAACAAAAAAATCCAACTAACCCCATTCCCCAAACATTCCAGTTAAGTGATATTTTACCAGAGATTCCAGCAGTAGCTGAAATAAGGGCTATTCAGAATGACGACGATATGTTAGAATGCCTAGAAAATGAATGGTGCTTTGTCAAGAGTGAAGGACTATACAAAGGTCAGCTAGGATTATTTTTTATCACTGAGAGTTCAAATGAGATCAACGAACAATAAGTAGGAAGGTGCTTACGGTTATCAGACTGAAAATCTGGGACAAACTGTTCATCATCAGGAACTTGTGCTGGGGGGAAAAAAAGACATTTTAGACCTTTTCATTTATATGAAAATGTTCAGTCAAATACTTTGCATGCAAAAACTGGACAGCTGAGAAACTTGCCTTCAGCTAACCAGGCCTCCTGGAGTTGGCTGAGATCCTGAAACAACTCTGGAATTGAAAATAACAATAAAACAAAAAGAAGAAGTTACACGCTGCTTGGGAAAAGGAGAAGTCTCCGAGCTGCTCGGTTTAAGCAAAGCCATAATCCAACCCTGCACACTACCTTCGGAATCCTGAGCCAGATCGGTGTCCAAGAACTTTCTCTTTCTGTCAATCACAGGCCTTGCTCGAAAGTCCTCAGGGTGAGATTTCTGAAAGAAGTACAGAGCTGCATGCTAAAGAGTGCCCTTAAGCGCAAGGCTTTGGAGAGAGGTGGTACCATTAACTACTTAAAAAGAAGGCTCCCATTTGAAGGACTCCAAAGGCAAACAAAAGGCCACATAAACTTACCCCAGGCACCATAAAAGGGACTTGCTGATCATAAAAACCATCCATTGTGCTTCTAAAGTCTTTAATATCCCTCTGAAAGGTTTCAGCATTGAGTAATTCCTGGGCTAAAGGGGTCCGGTTGTTTGGTGAATCTCGAAGATTTCAAACTGAGAAACAAGGTGAAAAACAGAAAGACGTGAAGAATTTGAAGCTGCAGTTTTTTTAAGCTCTCAAAGACAACATTCCCTTTCTAGGTGGCTCTCAAAGGTCACTCACAGTCACTAACTGCTGTGCTTGATTAAAAGCATCCAAACTACGACATTTAAAAGACAAATCTATTTGCCTATCCGACTTTTCCTCCACTGATTTTAATCAGAGGCGAGCTACCCTTTGACAAAACAGGAATGTAGCCCCGAGGGGGGGGGGAGGAATAATCCACATTTCAAAAGGATTCATCGAAGGTCATCGTGAAATGGTAGTGAGGGTGTTTATAGTGGTTATTTATAGACAAGTAGCATCTTGACAGAGGCCAGTGGAGGAAGCTAAGAAGAACCGAGCTCAAGTATTCAGTGATTGCTAAACTGAAAATCAAATACCAAGAGAAAGCATCTCAGCTGAACATTTAACAGGAAAATTTTTGCACCTAAATTTTTGACAATACAACTACCTCATTTCAATTCATTCTCATTCCTGACTTGAGCCTTCCAAATCTACTCCAAGCCCTGAGTTTGTGTGCAGGGGCCACACCTTTGTGATATAAACTGCAGAGACTAGTTCAAAGAAAACTATGGAATGGATGCCGTTGGAGAAACTTCCAAGGGCTTTCTAGCACTTCAAAAGGCTTGTGAGCTGACAGATTCACAAAAGTGAAGTTGTTTATTAAGCAGAATTTTATTTCTGGTTAAGCTTATTTCCCCAAAAAGGCAGTAAGGAAACTAGATTAAAACTCTTTTAGGCAATTTGAAAGAAGGGAAGATCGAGAGTCATCTGATAGCTATCCTAATTTGGAAAAAACAAAATCATAATTTTAAGAAAATACATTCTTTCCAATACATTCTAAAGGCAGCAAAAAGCAACCAAGAAGGGGAAAGAATCTTGATTTATTCAACTTTTACGATTTTAGCTCTCCCTGGATTAAAGAACAATTTTCCTATTGAGTTAAAATAATACATTTTCTAGTAGGTGCCAACCATGAGATTGTTTTGAACACTAGTTATAAAAGCAGATGAAATGTTCATAATTAAGGAGATTCCCAAGCCCTCCACATTCCCCTCTCTGACTACTGGCAATTCGGATCAGTTATTAATACAAACCAAGGAAGGGAAGGCAGGAGGGGGGGACCAAAGCACAGCGCACATTTCATAACTGTGCAAGAAAAAAAAATTAAAAAAAAAAAAAGAAACCCTCTCTATCCAAACAGAAAGAAAACTTTCAGGCTACCCTCCCCCCTTCTCCAATGTCTCCAAAGGTTATGCAAAAATCTCGGAATACTCAAGCAGAACATAAAAGAATTCGAAGACATTTCTCTCCCACTTTCCACAATCTGTCACAGTCTATGGTTTGAGAGAGAGAGAGAGAGAGAGAGAGAGAGAGAGAGAGAGAGAGAGAG